CCAGACTCCTTCTGGGGGGTGCAGGCCCCCGGATCTGCACACGGGATGACAGCAGGCTGCTGTCCCTCCCCCAGAGCACTGGATTGGAAGGGACCTCAGGGACAGATTGCAGACACTGGCCAGCTACAGATGTCGGTATCGGAGCAGTCCCCCCCCCCCATTTCCCCTTCCCTCTCCTTAGTTTCTGTTTCTCTGCAAGCCCAGCTCTGAAACTCCAAAATGTTTTGGATGGTTTTGTTTTGGAGATGTTTTAGAACCTTCTGTTTCATTTTGGATTCAATGTTTTGGGTGCCAAAACAGGCTGAAATAACTCCAAAATGAAACAGCTGCCAAAATTTCGCACAGTCCTAGAAAACAGCATATTTCAGAGCTTTGCCCTGTCTGCCCAATGAGGAGTAGAAGGAAGTCTTCTTTAGAACAGCTTGGCTAGTTATCACTGCCTGCTGCAGGGTTTCTTGCTCCATCTGCCAAAGCAGCTGGGGCTGGCAACTTGGACATAATCAGGGGGTTGATAGAGGATTCCTAGATGCTTGTTATGTATGTCCAGGGGCAAAACTTAGCGTAAAAATTGTCTTCAGTGAGCAAATTCTTTTCTTCCTTAGATTTGTGCCCTACATTGGAATTGTGACAATCTTAATGAACGACTACCCCAAATTTAAGGTATGTCTGTCCTTTCATTACTCTCCTTGCTGAAAACGGTCTTGTTGGTTTGAGCTCACCTGTATTTAGTGTCTGTTGTGTGCACATTTGTTACTGTTCCTGCAGAATCTGAATGCACATTCTGACTCTCTTCTGCTGGTTTCTTTTGCAGTATGCAGTTCTCTTTTTACTGGGTTTATTTGTGCTGGTCCATCGAGAATAGCCCTGTTGCACTGAAGTTCCTAGCGAAGATGCCATGCCTTTTTGTAACCAAGCATTTTGAGTATATAACAATCTGGTGTGTGTGTGTGTATGTTTGGGGTGGGGAGAAAACGTACATTTCAATGCTTCTTACCATTTTAGGGGGTGGGGGGGTTGTTTTAGGGGGTTTTTTCTGTGTAAGGAAGAATGTTAATCACAGTATTTCCAGTGGTTTGTCACATTTTAGCTTTTTTGTACATCGTTTTTATATTAAAAATCTAAGCCAAAGTGGTCAATGCTTGTATTTTGAAGCTGAGCTTCATTTCGGAAGTGCCTATGCAAGCTTGCTCTCAAAAGTCAAGGCTGTTACTCTGGTGAGTGCAACCTCTTCTGTTCTGTAATCTGGTATATAGCTGGTGACCTGTAAAAGTCCCCCGTCTCTCCCATCCCCCAGAACTGGAATAAAAGGCTTTGTGCACTACCCCAGACACATTCTTAAAAAAAAAAAAAAAAGGCAGTTTCTGAGACCTCATTGGAAGGCCTCACTTGTTCTTTAAATTGGAACGCTTCATTGGAAAGCCCTAGCACTTGTTCTTTAAATACCAGTATGTAAGGAAGTCTTGCAAATTAAATTCTCCTCTCTCTATGTGTTGCAGTAAGATAGCAGCTGTATCTCTTGTTCCTTTTTCAGGGGGCTGGAGTTGGGGGAGAGAGAAACTGTTCATAGCTTTGCCTAATGTTTTATTTTCTTGCATCCTATTGAAATAATGTGTGCTTTGGGAGCCCCAAAGCACTTCAGACAGACGGCATAGCTAGCAGCTACTTCCTCTCTACTGAAATGGAGCCAACCCTGTGGAGAAAGGCAGTGGCTGCTGAACAGTGTCCTTAGTGCTCTGTGACCAAGAAATTGGGATGGACAGGAAGTAGCCATTCAGGGCTGTAGGAGAGAATTGAGGGAAGAGGGGAAACTATGCCCACATCTCAAGGGCAAATTTTCTTCTTGTTGGCCAACATGCTTTGTGATTTGAGTAGTTGGGAATGCTAGAGCCTTGCTCTACAGCTCATCCATAAAGATGATATCTGGAGCTGCACAATGCCCCCTTAACATCATGCTGGGGCTCAGGGTGCAGGACTGACTTGGGCAGTGACAAAGCCCCAGCACCTGTCACTTTCTGTCAGCTTTTTTCCCCCACAGGGTTCTCCGTTTGAGTACTAATCCTCCTCGCACAGGTATGGTGTGAGGTGCTTACCTGTTGTGGTGTGTTGGTTATGTAGTCCCCTACCTTGTGCTCATGTTTTCTTCTCTGGTTGACCCATATGTGTCTTTTGCCTCTACACCGGTGGATCAACATGTGAGGAAGTTCTGCTGCTTCACCAGTTTGCTTCTGCCAGGCTGAGGCCCTGCCTGCCTCTAAGCTGGCAGTTAGCATGAGCTGGGCAACATTGCTGCCTTAGTGTTGTGTGTCCGCTTGCTGCTTCCAACCAGCCTGCTCGTAGCTTGTTCCCCAATCTTGAGCCATCCTGCTAAGATAGATTTATGCATCTGTCAATAGCATTTTCTCCCTGTCCTCTCAGAAATCCAAATCTCTCACATTATTTTAGCAGCTTTTCCTTTGATGATCTTTGAGAGACTGCAGCAAGTCAGACTTTACCAGTTCCTCATTAGAGACCTATGTTATCCAAGGCCCTCATTTCTCATTTTTCACAAAGGTTTCAGCCGCCAGCAGTTAGACAAGTCTCATTTAGATGCAGACCGATGGCATCTGTGCACGCAAGCCTCCTACGGCAAAGGGAAAGAGGAAACAGCAGTGGATTAATGTAACCGTCTTCCTTTGTACATACCTCTCACTAAATCAAGCCTTTTTCATGCACTGCTTCCAGGCAGGTGTAGCACAGCATCTCCTGTTAATGCAAGATGTGGGCAAGCTGTCACCTGGAGCCCAGTGGGATCAGACCTTCCCCCCTAGCGAAGTGTGGTTGGCTGATTTTTTTCCAGAGGTTGGGAACTTAGCTAGCCCTCTGGTAAGATTTTTGTATAGCTCAGTAGAAACGTACTGAAAGCCCCAAGCCTCTTTTGAGCCCCATAGAACCCTGATTGCCCTCCCCATGCTAGGACTTCAGTGCTCTGTAAGCAGTCTTGGATGCATCTTAAGTACATAAATCCAGTAAATCCTCTCAAGTCTGTTTGTTTCCTTGCCAGGATGAAGACAAGCTAATTTTTGAGAGAGCAGGGAACAGAGGAGGTACCCAGAGGCCAAGAGTTGTATATAATACTGATCTTCATATGGGGGCAGGTGACCTTCTCCATGCACTCTGGTTCCTAACGCCAAGTCTTAGGTGCTTGCTTTCTTTTTTTTTTTTCTGTTTGAAGAGAACTACACCCTCATTCTCTGCTTTGCCTTCTGCTGCTGCTGTTGGTACTCATGGGAATGGAGTTGCCATATGTGGTTTTGGCTAAGTGACTGAGCTAAAGCAAGGAGAACATGACATTGAGTGGGACAAACTAGAAAGCTCGTTGCCCTGACAGCAAGGAGGTGGCTGATTTCAAATGGGAACAGGGTAAAGACCTGAGAACCAGACCTGAGCAAATCTTCTTGGTGTTTTTTGGGGCCTCTTCCTCCTTTGGGTTTGAATTTAGCAGCTTCAGGTAGGTTCTTCTGCCCCACATTTTGTAATAATCCTGCATTACCTCCAGGCTGAGCTGTTTTTATGCACAAATTCTTCTTGCCTTATTCTTCCACATGAGCACAAGTTCTTTTAAATTCTGCTAATCAACACAGTGTTTTCATGAGAACCCTGTGAAAGTGTTGATGATGCAGTTCTCTGAGCCCCTCTCACCTTCACGCTTTTTCAGAGGTGCCAGTGCTTGTTACATATTAACTCGGTGACAACACTGGGAACACTTAAAAAAAAAAAAAAAAA